CAAGGCACATTTCTGCTGCTGACTTTGTTCTAGGGACCCTCCAGGGATGCACGCAAGCCTGCTGCGTCCTACCAGCCCAGCCACACCATGCTGAGCCTTGAAGAGCAAGACCCCATCCCTCCCATGGATGGGTCCTTCTCCTCTTCCTCACTCATCTGCTCTTTCAGAGACCCAGGGCTGCGCAGGGCGCAGGGGAAGGGAGCCAGGAGAGGTACCAAGCCTTGCTGCAGTGCCTGACCTGCCTGGTGGTGAGGAGCCTGGCTGGGCTGCATGACTCACCCGGCAGCCACGTGAAGTGGAGCTGGCATGGGAAAGCCATGAGGCCCTGGGCTCTTCCTGGAAGACTGCCGCATGCTCTCATCCCCCCCAGAGTGATCTTCACCGGCACAGCACAGCTCCAGCCCCCCACAAGTGTGCTGAGGTCTCTCCTGCAGCAGCAGGATCCGGCTGCCTCCAGCAGCCCCCCCAGAGCAGTGGGATGAGAGAGGGGGTTCAGCTCCCTGGGGGAACAGGGCCAGAACCAGCCCAGCCAGTCCTGTGGAGCACCAAAGCATCAGGAAGGCAAATCCTGCTGACATGACAGCTCTGGGATTGCACCGGACTGGCATAAAGTCCTGGGGTTTAGAGGGATTCCTGCCCAGCCCCTGCTCCAAGGCAGGATCCATCCCACCAACCCCACCGCCAGCCCAGCTCAAGCAGAGACAGGCACTGCGGTTGAAATAAGCTGGCGATTAAGTGGAAGCAGTGGAGGATCAGAGAGCCAGGAAACACCCCACAGGGCCAGGATCCTGCCGGGGCTCCCCAGCTTGCACCAACGCCATGGCAGGCACAGGGGGTGTGTGCTAGCAGTCGGAGCAGAGATCTGGTACTTGGGATGCTGCATGGGCAGGGACCTATGCCAGCTTCAAACCCACTGCCTTGCCCCCTCCTCGCTCAAAGAAGCCCCACACCAAGCTGCAGGGAGCGCTGGCAGGGCACAGCCTTACCCCCAGCAGCACATCCCAACAGCTACGTATCTTTCCAGCTGCACCTTGAGCCCCATGGCCTCTGCCCACTGACTCCATCTGGAAATACCCCACACAATCAAGCTCAAATCTTGGTTTCCCCTCACCCTGATCGCTGCACCTTTCCCCTCATCTCTCTGCAGAGAGGGTGTACACTGCTCTGCCCCAGCAGGTCACAGGCTCAGGGGGACCAGCCCACGCTCCCACTGCCCTTCCAGCAGTGTGGAAGGGTCAGGCATGACAAAGCTTCCCAAAGCAGAGAGCCCGTATCCCCCCCACTACCCTCCTGGCTTCCAGCAGCGACAGGCTGGGGCAGCGACA